GATCATGGTTTTTGTAAGATCCTAAAGTAGACCAGTTAAAAAAGAAAAGAAAGAAAGGGGGAAAAAAACACTTCTAAGATTTTTCAGAGAGAGGAAGCAGCCAAACTTGTGTTGAGGGGAGGGAGAGGGAAAGGCTGTTATTATATTAGAGGCCTGGTGCACATGATTTGTGCACTGGTAGGGGGCTGTGGCTTGCGGGGATCAGCCTGCTGCTGGAGCAGCCATTCATCCAGCTCATCTAAGCAGTGCTCCCTCTGGGAGTGCACTGACCACCAGGGGGCAGCTCCTGCACTGTGCACCTGCCCCCTGGTGGTCAGTGTGCGTCATATCAACTGGTCATTCGGTTGCTGGGCTTTTATTATATAGCATAGGATTTTTATTACCTCAAGGACTCTTACCAACCTACAGTGCTTACAGCGCATAGTACATTTACAGTACTGGATTTACAAAGACAAGGCGGTTTCTGCCCTCAAGCGGCCAGTTGCCTATTAAATGAGTAAATAAATGATTTAAAATGTATGTGTTAAATGTGTGGTAAAGGTAATTGCACAATATGTGGGCACACATATTGGAAATGCTTCTTTGGGAGGTATTACTTAATGGGTCATAGGAGTTCTGGAGAGGGGGCAGATTGAGAAGGAAAAGCATTTGAACTAGAAAAGCTTCCTGGAGAAGGTAGCGCGTTAGCTAAATGTTATAAGGCAGTAGGAGGTCTGAGACAGGGCAGATTAGGAAGGGAATCAACCAGGCAAAGAGAATAGAATTATAAAGGCTCAGAAGTGAGAGAAAGCACGGCTCTTTCTGGAAAGTGCCAGTAGTCCTGGAATCCTGTACTGTGCAGAGGAAAGGTGTGGCAAGAGATAAACTGTACTTGTAGGAGATAAAGCAGGACCAGGTTCCAGGTTATGGAAACCTTATTTGGACTTTACCCTGAATGCCCTGGGGAGTATTGAATAGTATTAAATAAAAGACTATCATAATTACATTTGCCTTTAAGAAAAATCACTATGGTAATATAGAGACTGGATAAAGAGAGTGTATTACTGGAATTGGGAGACTGGCAAAAGTTATAAATTCTTAATTTTTGTCAATCAGGATGATGCAAGACGGAGCCTATAGATTTTGATGACTGATTAGATTTGAGGAGTAAGGAAGAAGATAATTTAGTTAACATCTATGGAATCCTTAACTATTTTTTAGGACTGAGCTCAATACCTCTACATGCATTTCCTTTTTTTTTTTTTTAATTCCTCACCTGAAGATAATTTCCCATTGATTTAAAAAAATATATATTTTTATTGATTTCAGAGAGGAAGGAAGAGGGAGAGAGAGATAGAAACATCAATGATGAGAAAAAATCATTGATTGGCTGCCTCCTACACGCCCCACACTGGGGATCGAGCTGCAACCCAGGCATGTGCCCTTGTCTGGAATCAAACCTGGGACCCTTCATTCCGCAGGCTGATACTCTATCCACTGAGCCAAACCGGTCAGGGCTTCCCGTTGATTTATAGAAATAATAGAAGGGAGGGAGAGAGAGATGAAACATCTCTTATCGATTGGTTGTCCCCCCACATGATCCAGACCAGGGCCAGGGATTGAGCCTGCAACCGAGGTACATGCCCTTGATCAGAATTTTAATTCGGGACCCTTCAGTTCGCAGGCCAACAACGCTCTATCCACTGAGCCAAACCAGATAGGGCCATGCAGCCCTTTGGATTTCATACTGTGGTCTCCATTACACAGATAAGGAAGCTGAGGCTAAGAAAGTTTGATAACACTCCTAGTTGCTGAGCCAACAAGTGCTGTTATTCAACCCCTATCTGTCTGACTTCTCTAAAGACAGTGCTCTTAACCATCTATACTTGACTGCCTAACAGGTCCCAGGTTACTAGTTTGGTCAATCAGGTGATTGATGGTAGTGCTGGATTACTAAGACAGTGGGAGTGGTAGATGGGAAGTTGATTATTTCTGTTTTGGACATTTCATCTTGAGATGCCTTTGAAACATCTAGGTAGAGGTGTCTAGCAAGAAACGGGATTTAAAATTCTAAATCCCAGAAGAATGTCCTGCACTAGATATGCTACTGTGGGAGTTGTTAGTCCATAGGTGGTTTTGGCTGTACCACTCAGCAAGCAGGCTGGATAATGATAGTGGAAAGTTTGGGAGAGGATGCATCCACCTAAAGAATGTGAATGTGGCCGAAACCGGTTTGGCTCAGTGGATAGAGTGTCGGCCTGAGGACTGAAAGGTCCCAGGTTTGATTCCAGTCAAGGGCATGTACCTTGGTTGCAGGCAACATCCCCAGTGGGGGGTGTGCAGGAGGCAGCTGATAGATGTTTCTCTCTCATCGATGTTTCTAACTCTATCCCTCTCCCTTCCTCTGTAAAAAAAAAAAAAAAAAAAAAAAAAAAAATCAATTAAATATATATATATATATATATATCTATATCTATATCTATATATATATATATTAAAAAGAATGTGAATGTGTGCGTAGACAATGAGACAAGATGTATCTTTTTGGTCCCTTTAATTCTGGACATTCTTTCCCATATCATCTCAGGTTTCATCCTACCCTCACCAAAAACAAAAAATTAAATGCTGTTCTATATTTGGTTAATGGTAGGATGAGATTAGCTATAAATGATCACTGTTTTGTCCTTCCTTTCATGCTGCTTAACTTAGCAGAGCTAGCTTGTTTAGCAATTAAAGGTTACAAGTGAAATAGGTGGAGAGAAAGGAGCCAAAATCCCATGAAGCTGTATTAAGCTTTTAAGATTGGTGAGTCTTCACCAATCCTGGAAGTCTTTAGAGATACTTGTATTGTGTTTCTGTGTTAACACTAGTCTCAACCTGTAGCATCTATTTTGGGAACATGTTTTAGAATAGGTGATATCTATTAAATGCTTGAGAGTTTATTGTATTTGCTGCCTTTCCCCCTGGGATTTATCCTGTGTGGTAAATAATGTGTTTATCCCTGGAGAGTATGTAGAATTGGCAGCAATTAAGGAACTAAAGTGATTGTAGCATAACATAAAGGAAAATACACTGAGTGGCCAGATTATTATGATCTCTGAACCCATAATAATCTGGCCACTCTGTGTGGGTGTGGGTGTGGGTGTGGGTGTGGATGGGTAGGTGGGGTCCTAACAGCCTGGCATGGGAGGGGACATGGGTGGTTGGCCGGCCTGCCTGCTGGTCCAACTCCTGCTCAGGGGACAATTTGCGTATTAGCCTTTTATTATATAGGATATACACTGAGTGGCCAGATTATTATGTGTTCAGAGATCATAATAATCTGGCCACTCAGTGCATATTGGCTGCTTCTAGTTCCTCCATTTGTGAGTAGAACAGAATTGGAGACTTCTGCTGCATCTCCAGGCCAGGGAATGGAAAGGTTTATCTGGTTTGCGTTCTTATTTTTTCTTTGATTTTTTTTTTTTTTTAAACAACATTCTCTGGAAGTCATCTGGCCCAGAGAGACTAGAGCCGATACACAGGAAAGAATGGACAGGGATACTTTATCTGAGCTTCTTATCTCTTCCACAGAGAGGATAATGTGTTAAGTTGAGAAATTCTGGCATGTCATCTTTGGGGTAATTGTAGTTGTTATGGTCATTGTAGGCAGCTTCAAGGGAGTTGAGTTCATTCAGCTTCAGTTACCTGAACTAATTAATTCTTTGAAATGGAATCCCTCCAAGTCAAGGCTTTGATTGAAATTTCACAGATTTTGCCCAGGCGGCATAGTTCAGTGATTGAGCGTTGACCTATGAACCAGGAGGTCATGGTTCGATTCCCGGTTAGGGAACATGCTTGAGTTGCAGGCTCATCCCCAGTGTGGGGAATGTAGAAGGCAGCCAATCAGTGATTCTCATCATTGATGTTTCTGTCTCTCTCTCCCTTTCTTTTCCTCTCTGAAATCAATAAAAATATATTTAAAAAAAGAAATTTCACATTTTTATTAGATCACTTACAGTCTTAAGCATTTTATGTATACACACTTATTTGTATGTATAATATGGGCAGCTTTCAGAACACTTGTTCCTTGGGGTTTTGGGATGCTATACTTCCAGTTCCTTAATTTCACAAATATTTATTGAACACCTTCTATCTCTCAGGTGGTGGTCTAGATGGTAGAATATAATAGGGAACATGTCAGAGAAGATACTTTCTCTGGTGGAACATACTTTTAGGATATTAGACACTGAATGAGACTAGTTCAGATAAATTAATACCTGTGGAAATCCTAGTTCTTGTGAAAGATCTGTAAAGAAGCTCTTCTGGATGTGTCTGTTTTTCCCCACTGTGTCTCCAGATCTTATCCATTCTCATTTGAAGCCTGAGTCAAATGGCAGCCTCTCCATGCTATGCTCTTGCCCCTCTGAAATTCTGTTGTTCTGTCTACAACACTCCTACGTCCCCTTAAAATTCTTTTCTATTTGTTTTATAGTTGTTAGTGTACATGTCAAGTCTCCTGTATTATATTATGTTATTGAGGTCATGATACATGTCCTCTTCATCTTGACTATGCAGGCAGCAAAATGTTGTAGGGAAAAACATTGCACTTAGAGCCAGATTTGAATTTGAGTACTGGCTATAGTTGAGCCATTTAACTTCACTGAAATTAAGTTTCTTCTCTTTAAGAGTGTAATAATTTTCCTTCCATCCCTGAATAGTTGTGGGAAGGCATAAACCAAGATATGTGACTATCCTTTATAAATTTAAAATTTTGTGATAGCATATTCAGTAAGTATTTGAGTGAGTAAACATTTGCTTCAGTGAACACCTTTTCCTGGGTAGTTCTCTTGTTGAATGAGGTCTTTATGATCTTGCAAATATTCTAGACATATTTTCCATCTTATTTTATTATTAAATGATTCTGTTCCTCAGAATTGGCATCCTCTTCACCCCTAAGTATTCTGTTTTCTCCTTACGTAGGTACTATGTAATATTAAAACAGTAAATGACTTTTTATCTGTTTCAGCAGGTGGTGCATTATGGCTGACATGCAAAATCTGGTAGAAAGATTGGAGAGAGCTGTCGGCCGCCTAGAGGCAGTATCTAATGCCTCTGACATGCACTGTGGGTTCGGAGACAGTGCTCCAAAAGGTAAGCCTGGCAGAATATTTTGAGTGAAAACTCAAAATATTTTAAGGGTACCTAAGAGTGTTGGCCTAAAAATTTTTTTTCTCAGTGTGTTCTCTCCTTTGGAACCAACTTCCCAAAATGCTTAATCTAGAAAGTTCTTTGCCTGTAATTTGTATTGCTGTGAGCAGATAAGAGAGGAAGTGACTTATGCAGGGAGGCCTGTGGTTAAGTTATTTTAACACAAGACTTCCTGCTTGTGTGCTGTTTCCTGTTCTTCAGCAAAATGACTCCAGTGTAAGACAAATGACAGGTGATAGTAAAATTTCCTCTCCCCAAATGATTGGCAAATTGGCCATTTTGCATATGGACCAATTGAGTCATAGAGTGTTAGGGCCAAAAGTAACCTTGGGGGGTCATTTTTTTAAAAATATATTTTATTGATTTTTCACAAAAAGGAAGGGAGAGGGATAGATAGCTAGAAACATTGATGAGAGAGAATCATCGACCAGTTGCCTCCTGCACACCCCCTACTGGAGATGTGCCCGCAACCAATGTACATGCCCTTGACCAGAATCGAACCCGGGACCCTTCAGTCCGCAGACCGACGCTCTATCCACTGAGCCAAACCGGTTTCGGCGGGGGATCATTTTAAAAATTTTCATTTTATACATAAAATTAAGCTCAGGAGAAGAAGAAGAAAAAAAAGGACTTAGTCAAGGTAGCACAACCAGTTTATGTTGGTAGGTATTGGAATTAGAACCTAGGTTTCCTGATTCATGTTCCTTGTATAGACTTACCTCTCCACTTTTATACGGAAGTGCCTTTTTACAGGTCATTTTTCTGATACATGACTGATTATTGGTGACTGTCTTCAGCAGGAGCAGTTCCTTATGTGCAAGCATTTGACTCACTGCTTGCTGGTCCTGTGGCCGAATACTTGAAGATCAGTAAAGAGATTGGAGGAGATGTGCAGAAACATGTAAGGATGTTTTGCCTTCCACCTGCGCCCACCCCCACCTTTTTAAAGACTGATGGCTTTCTTCAGATCCTATTTATCCTTGGTCAGACAGAGGCTTCCAGTGAGCACAAGACCTATTTATCCTTGGTTTAAGAGCGCTCTCAGCTCCTTTCTAGCTAACTCATGCCTAGAGTTTAGTCCAGACACTGGAACCATCATCAGATTTTTATCACATATTCTATGGGGGCTTCTTTTATATGGATAACTTGCTTGGTTCATCAAATATGGCTCTGTTCATCTTTGTGGTGAAAACTGCTACCAGTCTCATCCTAACATGTTATATAACCAAGCCTATGGTGGCTTATTAACAAAAGGTCATTATCATGACTTAGCATTTATAAAACTATGCTTGATAGTTACTGGTTATGCTAATATGAGTTATTTTCACACTTTTCCCACAGCAGGAATATGAAGTAGGCAGTGACAGGTGCCTGTCCACCCACCTTCCTTCTTTTGCTGTTTCCTCTCCACCCACTTCCCTTCATGTGCTGCCACCTACTTGTCACCACCACCTGACACTCGTATACATATATTTGCTCTTCCTCTTTGGGATCCAAAATCATCTTTCTAGTCTTTTGAGTGATTCATTGTAAGCAATAATCGTGTTTAGGATCTTCCTGACCCTTCTGCAGGACTGATTGCTTGATCTTTGGAAGATTTGTTTTGAGCCTGTTATATACCATCTATTGGCGGCAGTGTTAGCTCTAGAGAATGGGACTGGGCCTTAAATAGGGGTGTTAGAAGCTTGCATTTTTACTTTAAATAGTCTAACATATGAAAACATTTTAAAACATGTATCATTTTTATATTTTTAAAATGCAAATCCAGAAGAAATATCTTATTTTAATTTTATATTTTAATAGGGCTTATAGCCCATGTTTCTTAAAAACTTTTTTTGACCATGATCGTCGTAAGAAAATACATATTTGTAACAGATATGTTCACAAAATAGCCCTTAACCTACTTGTACAGCATTTTCATTTACTTGTTATTGGGGGGAAATAATTTCAAGCTGACTTACTGTACTTACTTGTTTTATTTCTATTTCATTTAATAAAGTGCTGGTTATGGCTCATTAAGTTGATTTTGATTCACCTGGAAATAATACAAAATAATAGTGAATGTAAACTGTAATTGAAAAATAAAATTTTAAAAAAGTTGATTTTGATTAATTACCTCTGAATGGATCATGATCTAACATTGAGAAACATTTAAGCTACAGGAGTAAATACCTTGAGAATTTTAGATATAAATTTAGATTTTAGACATAAATTTAGATCTTTGCCTATAGTGAGTGGCCAGATTATTATGATCTCTGAACACATAATAATCTGGCTACTCAGTGTATATCCTATATAATAAAGGCTAATATGCAAATTGTCCCCTCTACCAGAAGTTCAATCAGCAGGCAGGCCAGCCAACCGCCCATGTCCCTTCCCTCTGGCCAGGCTGGCCAGATCCCACCCATGCACGAATTCATGCACCGGGCCTCATATATATATGAGGCCCGGTGCATATATATATCAATCACACACACTCACACTGAGTGACCCCACCCATGCATGAATTCATGCACCGGGCCTTGTGTGTGTGTGTGTGTGTGTGTGTGTGTATATATATATATATATCACACACACTCACACTGAGTGCACTCACTCTGAGTGCATTCAGAGATCATAATAATCTGGCCACTCAGTGTATATTTCTACCTCTTTTTTATTTTTATTTTTATTTTTTATTTTAGAAGATAGGATCTGTTTTTTATTTTGAGTGAGAGACCAGAAGGGATTTTTCAATGAACTTCATATCACACTGCATGTGCAGTTGCTAACTTAATTGATTTCATCCAAGGCTAGCCCTCATCTTCATTTCCTGGATATGTGGCCCTGATTAGTTCAAGAGGAGCAGTGGTACATGTAATGCTGCCATCAGTCCCGGGAATCTGGAATGCCCGAGGAAAGCAACATGAAGTGCCTAGGTTGCTACCAAAGTACATGGAAGTGGAGGTTTCAGGTTATTCTTATCAGGACCTCTCCAGTTGTAATGTGTCATTGATAGCTGTTTCCTCTCCTTTCCGGCAGGCGGAGATGGTCCATACAGGTCTGAAGTTGGAGCGGGCTCTCTTGGTTACAGCCTCTCAGTGCCAGCAGCCAGGAGGTGTAAGTTCACCACTAGTTGGTTTTGTTTTGGCTTCATGTTCAGGAGAAGTTGAGAAGTTTCTGCTGAGCTATCACAACATGCTAAAATAAACCTACCAGGCTCATGTATGATCACAATAATATCCAAAAGTAGAGTCAGACTTACAGTGCCAGTTACTGGACTATGCCATTGAGTATTTATTGAGTTGTGCTTTTCTTCTGTCATTTTACTTAGGATTGAGTTACCCCTGGGACTTTGCTAAAGAGGCAAAAGAAGGGCCCTTGGAGCTTAGGAGAGATAAAGGCAAGGAAAGTGTACCCGGGGGAAAGTGTGGGCGTGCTCCATAGACAGTGGTGCTACTTCTCTTATAAACAGCCTTTTTTAGCCTTTTGGTTGAGGCTAAATTCACTATATTGTCCTCTAAGCCCTTTGGGTCACAGGAAATGGTTCTCTTGCTTCACTGTGAAGTGAACGCTAGTAATGCTGTGTAGGTCCTAAACCTTCTAAAGTCCTGCTTCTCCCCTTCAGCTCTACTTCTACCTCAAAATTGTATGCTGCCAAGGTATAAAAATTAGAGAAAGTTGAAATTTTTGTTGGAGCCCAAGATTTTAGTTTTGCTTCTTCTTTTTGCATTTGGCTTTCCTGGGCAGATGGGTAATAAAACTCCTGCTAATGTTATGTTAAAATCTTTGGATTCTTGGCATGCCTAAATAATGTAAAAAATAGTATAAGATAATGTTAAATATATTAGACTTCAATTATTAATCTATATTGAATGGTTAAAACATTTTGTTTAAACCTTTTCTCTAAAACAAATCAGACAGCCGAGACACTATTATAGTTCCCTTGCTGTAGACTAGGGACTGGCAAACAACACTCCACAGGCTAAATCTGGACTGCCACCTATTTTGTAAGTGTATTTTTTTGGGGGGACACAGCCATGTTCATTCTGTTACTGTTTATGCACTACAACAGCAGAATCAAGAAACTGCAGAATGTTTGCTGTCTGGCTCTTTACAGAAAGTTTATTGACTTCTGTTCTAGACTGCTAAGAACTGAGAATTAAGATGTTCAGAAAACTGAGCTTTAGAGAAAGAATAAAAACACAGAAACACAAGTCATCTTTTCTGCTAAGCTGCCTGCTCAAATGACAAACCCCCTAATTACATTTGATTCAATAGATCTCTACTTAGCAGCTGCTATATGGCTAGGAGTGTGTGAAAGGCTATAAGCCTGATAGTATAAGGATTATAAAAGAGGGTTAAGACAAAGCCTTTGTCTTTGAAGAATTAATGAGTGGGGTGGGGGACAAAGCATGGGGTCATTAATAGTTTGGGCTCGTATGTGATGCAGTGCCAAAATTGGTTATGCTGACAGTAAGTGCTGTAGGAGGCCACTGTGGCCGGAGTTGGAGGGCAGTTCCTCATGAAGCATGAGGAGCATTTGAATAGATGGAAAAAGAAGGGGCCATTATGAGTGAAAGCCCAAAAATGAACCAGTATCTCGTATTAGTGGAACAGAAAAGAGGCTGAAATGGTAGAATTTTGTGATATAGCCAGAGTTTGAGTCCTAATCATGAAAATTCAGCCTGAGAAGTTGGAACTCTATGAGGAGAGAGAGAGGAGGAGCACTCTTTTAGCCATATGAATCTGTGCAGAACGAATACAGAGTTTATTTGGATGCTCATTATAGTCCATAAAGAGTTCTTGCCTTCAGGATAGAGCTGACAAAGCTTTTATAGAAAGGCTCTAACATGAATCTTTTCTGCATCTTTTCCTAGAATAAGCTTTCTGATTTGTTGGCTCCGATCTCAGAGCAGATCCAAGAAGCGATAACCTTTCGGGAGAAGAACCGAGGCAGCAAATTGTTCAATCACCTGTCAGCTGTCAGCGAGAGTATCCAGGCCCTGGGTTGGGTGGCTGTGGTGAGCAGCTCGGCTTCCATGGGAGGGAAGGGATAGGATGGGAAAGGTAAGGAGATAGGGCTGGAGAGGCTCTGAGTCACCAACAGCTTCTCTTTCTTAGGCACCCAAACCTGGTCCTTATGTGAAAGAAATGAATGATGCTGCCATGTTTTATACAAACCGAGTCCTCAAGGAGTACAAAGATGTGTAAGTCCAGCCATTCCTCAAGGGGTAAAGGACAAACCCAGGTGGATTCTTGGAGTAGTGCTTTGGGTTAAGGCTGCCCTTGGCTGCTATGTTAGTTCTCCTGTCTCAGAGCTGCTTTCTAGAAAGTTTAGTAGATAACTGCTCATAGAAGGTGCATTTATAAACTGGAAGTGTTTCTCCTTCCACTTTCGTTTTTTCAGGGTTTGTAGAGGGCCAAAGTTTTCTAACACATACCCTTCCAGGTTTAGGATGTTTGCTGGAGATTAAATGGACTAATCCCCTTTTTTTTTTTATTCTAACCTCGTGTTATGTTTAATTTAATTTAATTTTTATTTTTTTAAAATAAATCTTAATTGCTCAGATTATGTTTATTTATTTTAAAGCTCTAAACTTGCTTTCTTTTTCTTTTTCTTCTTTTTAATGTATTTTTATTGATTTCAGAGAGGGAGAGATAGAAACATCAGTGATGAGAGTCATTGATCAACTGCCTCCTGCATGCCCCCTATTGGGGATTGAGCTCACAACCCAGGCATATACCCTTGACTGGAATTGAACCTGGGATGCTTCAGTCCACAGGCAGATGCTCTATCCATTGAGTTAAACCGGGTAGGGCTGAAGATACGTTTATTGATTTTTACAGGGGGGGGGGGGGGTGAGAAACATTGATTTTTTTACATGCCCTGATCGGGAATTGAATCCACAACCTTATCGTGTACAGGACAACACTTCAACTCATTTAACCACTTGACCAAGGCTGGATTAATACTTCTAATTTATCTGTTTAGATAAGATTTTTTTCCTTTGTTGAAAATTTCCAAACAGCCCATTGGCAAAAATTTTAGTAAAATTTACTAGGAAATTATCCTGACTATTGATGTGGTCAGGTAAAGTGAGAGGTAGGCTACCTGGCCAGTGCAGGTGTTAAGTAAGGGGAATCATTTTATGGAGTGACTGTAGGTAGCTATTACTTAGCTGCATAGCTACCCAACACTTCCTTTCTTCTGTTCATCATAAATCAACTAACATTTGTGGATTAACTGCTTTGTGAAGGAGTAAGCCTTCATGTGTGGAGTATGTCCCAGAACACCAGGCACCTCCTTGATCTTTCCCGCAATCTGGAATTAAGTATCACATGTTTTGATTATACCCCCTCACTTTACAGTTGAAAAACGTAGGTCCTATGCTAAATAACCATAAAGTCTTCTAGCTTATATATAAGATGATGAGATGTGAGCCATACTTCAATACAATTTCCTTCTGAAGGGAACTTTTTTGTTTTTTGGGGGGTGCATTTCCTATATAATAAAAGCCTAATATGCTGTGTCTGGTCATCCAGCCAGCCATTCAACCAGTCAAAGTGTAATAAGCTAATGATATGCTAAGGGCGCTCAACTGTTTGCTATGACATACACTGACCACCAGGGGGCAGATGCTAGGTTAGCTTGCTGCTGGGATCTGGCTGCTGGGGACTGAGCAAGATGGGCTGGACACACCCTGGAGCCCTCCTGCGATCTCTACCTGGCTGGCCAACCTCCTGCATCCCTCCCTGGCCCCGATCATGCACCCATGAGGTCCCTTGGCCTGGCCTGCGCCCTCTTGCAGTCCGAGCTGAGAGGACTCCTCCATCCCCAAGAGCTTGAATTTTGTGCACCGGGCCTCTAGGTTTGACATAAGGAACTATGTCATATAGTAGTCGAGTTTCCTGGAGTCCGAGAATTTCACGGTGATGGCTTTCACAATGAAAGATCTCTATGGCTTCATGCACGGGATGACTACTTTCATCAGTTTTTGTGTATTAGATTCTGCCTAAGGTCTGTGAAAAAAACAGTTTTGCTACTTTTAATTTATTTTAAAAAATTATTTTTATTTTGTAATTGATTTCAGAGCAAGAAAGAGAGAGAGAAGCATCAATGCTGAGAGAGAAGCATTGACTGGCAGCTACCGCACACCCCGCACTGGGGATCGAGCCTGCAACCCCAGGCGTGTGCTCTGACCAGGAATTGAACCGTGATCTACTGGTTTATAGATTGATGCTCAACCATTGAGCCATGCCAGCCAGCTGGGCTATATATATATATATATTTTAATTGATTTTGGAGAGAGGAAGGGAAAGAGAGATAGGAACATAGATGAGAAAGAAACCCCAGCATCCATCAGCTACCTCCTGCATTCCCCAACTGGGGATGAAGTCTACAACCCCAGCATATGCCCTGACCTGGAATCGAACTGTTCATGGGCCTATATTCAAACATTGAACCACACCGGCCTGACAACAGTTTTGCTACTTTAAAAAAAAAAAAAAAGTTTGAATAATACTGCTCTAAGAGAAAGACATAATCTAAAGTGCCTATTCTAATGGACTTTGGTCTGATTAGGGGATAGGTTTTAAAAAGAGAAGAAAGGCTCGGTGGTGATAGAAAAGCTGCTATTGAGCATAGCCTAAGGAACACCAGGCAGGAGGATGTGCGCTCACAGAGGGATTCTGGGATCACTATTGAAATGTACCCTGACTGCCCGTGATGAGTGCTTTATTTTTTCCAGGGATAAGAAGCATGTGGAGTGGGTTAAAACTTACTTGAGTATATGGACAGAGCTGCAGGCTTACATTAAAGAGTTCCATACCACCGGACTGGCCTGGAGCAAAACGGTCAGTGAATCCTTCTTTTTACTCATCCAGGATGGGGTCCACAGATTTCTTAGACTTTGGCACTACCAAGGTCCCAGAGCAATGTTAGTCTTTCAGTGGAGGGTGGGAAAAAAAAAAAAAAAAGGAGAAGGAAAGGGAAAAAAGAAAGACTAAAGAAAGCAAGAATTAGAGAATATTCATTTCTGTTCTATTTTAATAAACATGAGTGGGGAACAGTGGGATGGAGGGGAAACAGATGAATGAGTTACATTATTTCAGCACTCTTGAGGCTTAAAAATATAGATACAAAACCTCAATATAAATCATCAAACTAACTGCTATAATAAAGATCCACTATAGCAAGCATGTCAAACTTGAGATCGGCGGGTTTAAATAAACAAGGCATGTGGCTGCGAGTTTGACATGCTTTGCACCTCAGAGTATAAGAGGAATGATTCTCACTGGGAGAGATTGTACTGAAGGGGTATATTCCGATCTGAGACTTTTTGCAAGTATAAGGCAGTGAGAAGTGGGGGGATGGGGAAACTAGCAAATGGCAAAGCTTAAACTAAATGCAGAAAAATTGGATATCTCTGGCTACAATAAGGAAAGATAGGCTTTTAGGAGAAAGGGCAGGGAAGGAGAGTAGGTTGAGACTTTTAGACTTCATAGTAGGTGATAATTATAATCGATATTTGAGCAAGAAAGTGTTAATGATCAGATTTGCCCTTAAGAGAGCCTCAGTTTCCAGGTTAGGGATAAGGGCACATGTGCAGACTTTGAAAGTATTCATAGTGCTAGGGGCTGCTGCAAAAGAATTTGTAGGAGATGTCATCAAAATACAAGGAAGATTTAATGAGATTGAAGGGTTGAAAGACTCAAGGAAGAATAAACAGGCTTGGGTGCTGATGTCTTTCACTGAGAGAGAGATGAGGTGGTGATAGACAGGTAGGGGAGCGGGCAGGAGATGAAGACAGCCTTGGACTTGTTGAGTCTGAGATAGTGGTGACACACTTAAGTAGATTTTTAGAAGTACAGGTTTAAAGTTGGATTAGAGGCCAAAGGGAAAATGTGAAGGTTGAAAAGAGCTGAGTTGGATCTCTGAGAAAGGGTGAGAAGGAATAGCATGCTTTATTGGATAACTTGACTGTTGTTATCACTGTATCAGGGGTGTGTCCTGCACACATGTGGACCCCGTTGGAAATGGCACAGAGGGAAAGAGTATGGCTCTTGTTTGTGTTTATTGTTCCAGGGGCCTGTGGCAAAAGAACTGTGTGGATTGCCATCTGGACCCTCTGCTGTGTCAGGTCCTCCTCCCCCCCCACCAGGCCCACCTCCCCCACCAATGCCTACCAGTGCAGGGTCAGATGACTCTGCTTCACGCTCGGCACTGTTTGCACAGATTAATCAGGGGGAGGCCATCACACATGGTGAGTACATTGGCAAGAAGAGTTGGTACAGTAAGTTGATTGGGCCAAACCTTACCAACTAGAGATTGGACGATGTGTAAAGCAGAACTCTGGTTTGTGTATGGTAGAATTAATTTGGGGTGTCATATTACATTATGTTGCCCAAAGGGTCAGCAAAGTTGGCTTACATGGAAATTGGAATTAGGTGATTGTAGTTGGAGGAAGCCAACTTTAGAGGAAAGTGACTTATTAAGTGGCAGGTATTGAGTCCCCTGTTGTGCCAAGGCTTGGGACCTGCAATTTCTCCCAGAGCTTTTTCCACGTCTACTTGGGACAACATTGTGTTAACTTCCTCGGAGGATATATAGTAGTCATGGAAATTTTGCATAAGAGTTAGCTAAAGTTGGTGTGAAGAAAGTAGACACTCTTTTATATAGCAGGCAGAAGTCTAAATTATATAGCTCTATTTTGGGGATCTACCTAAAAGATATCTAAAGTAAAGAACAAGTTTTATAGTATTAGTGATATAGCTAAAAATGATGTAACAACCTAAATATTCAAGAGTAAGGAAAATTGTTAATTGCTCTTGATAAAATACTATACAGTCATTAAATCTCTTTCTACAGTGAACCAAGCAGAGTTTATGAAAAGTCTAGTATTTAAACTACTACCACCAGGAGTGGTGGAACTCAAAAGACCATTCAGTATTGGTTATGTAGATTGGCCATGTTCAGGAGTAAGGAGTGGGTTAGCCTGCTGAGGGTGATTATGGAATCTGTTCCCTAAAATTAAAAGAAAATTAAAATAGCCCTGCCCGTGTGGCTCAGTGATTGAGCATCAACCTATGAACCAGGAGGTCATGGTTCAATTCTTAGGGCCCGTGCCAGGTCGACCTACGAACCAGGTTGAGGGCTCAAACCCTCCGTACATACACATGTGCCATGTTTTATCTTTTTGAATGGAACTAAATAAGTTAACCTTAGGGTAGAAGAGAAATTATCAAGGTGCTTCTCTAAAATTGCTTTTAAGAGAACATCTCAAAGGCTCTAGTTTTGGCTTTGACTTTTTGTTAAGAATCAGTGTAAGTTAGTTATTGCCTCAGCCCAAAGCCCTGATAGAAGGACAGAAACAAGGCAGCTTGTTGTTCTTTCAGCCCTAAAACATGTATCTGATGACATGAAGACTCACAAGAACCCTGCCCTGAAGGCCCAGAGCGGTCCAGTACGAAGTGGCCCCAAACCATTCTCTGCACCTAAACCAGGAGTTAACCCGTCCCCTAAGCCAGCCGCAAAGAAGGAGCCGGCTCTACTTGAACTGGAAGGCAAGAAGTGGAGAGTGGTGAGTTAACAATTCCGGGACTCTGGGAACAAGGAGTGGACCGGGTTTTAATGGAGCACAGCCAAATGAATGCAGGGTTCTGACTTAAATTGCAAGAAGGAAAACTTGTGATAGTCTGTTTTTGGGATGGTGTGTGCTTAGTCATGAGATTGCTGAAAGGGGTATCTCTTTATCAGGAAAATCAGGAGAATGTTTCTAACCTGGTGATTGATGACACAGAGCTGAAACAAGTGGCTTACATATACAAGTGTGTCAACACGACATTGCACATCAAGGGCAAAATTAACTCCATTACAGTAGGTGAGTTCTTGTTCTAGGCAGGCTCTGTTTCAGAGCTTGAGAGGGTGGAACCATACCTATCCTTTTCTTAAGATTCTTAAATATATTACTTTCCTTTAAAGTTATACTGTTGACCTGCTCCCTTTCTTCTAGATAACTGTAAGAAACTCGGTCTGGTGTTTGATGACGTAGTGGGCATTGTGGAGATAATCAATAGTAGAGATGTCAAAGTTCAGGTAACTTGATATTTTGGCTTTTACCTTTGGTCCCTGAGGAATTAATTGAAAGAGACACAGAGCCGACCCACAGATGTTGCTGTGGTGGGAATCTGATTCTACAAAGTCTGTAAGCTGAGCTGCTTTGGATGAGGCAGAAGAGAAGTTGGCTCTTTCCAGAGTGAGCGCTTTCCAGCACCCATCCCAGCCTGCCCTGAGTATCCAGTATCTATTGTTCACCTGCAAGCTTTTCATGTAGTTGTTAAATCATGTGAAACCGTGGAAGCTTTTCCTGTAAATTTCTGTTATTCTCCCCAAACTGCTGGGACTTAGTGTTCTTGGTGTTCTCTGTAGGTAATGGGTAAAGTGCCAACCATTTCCATCAACAAAACAGACGGCTGCCACGTTTATCTGAGCAAGAATTCCTTGGATTGTGAGATCGTCAGTGCCAAATCTTCTGAGATGAATGTCCTCATTCCCACAGAAGGGGGAGACTTTGTAAGTTTCTTGATCTTTTTAGTATTAAAAAGGGACTGAAGACTTCTTACATTAGACGGAGTGAGTTGATGGGCAGTCTGCCCTGAGTGGTTCAGACTCAGCGACACACACTTTAAGCACAGATAAGTATGACGTAGTCACACAAGGTAGCTCTCCAGAGGAGGGTAGTACCTGCCTTGCTTAGGTTGGGCAGCTGCTCAGGGTAGTAAAAAGGAAAGAGAATTCAGCTCAGCCCTCTGTTGAGTTGGTGCCATGAAGCCATACATCTTCTCATTTATGCTTCATAGGCTTAACAGTCTGTTCAACATCGTTGGTCAGTGAACTGTATGGAACAGAATCAAACGTCTATCTGTCTGGCTTTGGAGCCTTTGTTCTCATTCCTACACTGCAGGGCTCCTCCATTGTGTCAGCGGTAGGGGAGGCGTTCGTAAAAGATGTGGGTGGCACTGCCAGCGACATAGCCTTTTAAGGGAGGTTTGGTTTCTCTCACTGTTTTGCCTGCTCTCAGAACCAGTAGAAATAAGCATTGAAAAAAAGTGTAAGGCTGCATCCCAACTTATTTTTAGCTCATATTTAAACCTGTTTCTTTATTTGCAGAATGAGTTCCCCATCCCCGAGCAGTTCAAGACCCTATGGAATGGGAAGAAGTTGGTCACCACAGTGACAGAAATTGCTGGATAAGCGAAGTGCCACTGGGTTCTTTGCCCTCTCCTTCACACCATGGGATAAATCTGTATCAAGACGGTTCTTTTGTAGATTCCCTCTACCTTTCTGCTCTTAAACTGCTTCTCTACTTTGAGAAGCACAGCTACCTGCCTTCACTGAAATATACCTCAGGCTGAGATTTGGGGTGGGATAGCAGGTCAGTAATCTTCTGCAGGAAGGGGCAGCCTTTTCCTGTCAGCTCCACCACACTACCAGTCTGTTCTTAAGGAACTGCAGACCAGGACTGGTGTGTCTCAGCTTTCAGCCTTTGGGGATTATTCCACCAACAGTCTTTTGGGAAGAACAAAGCAGTCCCCAGGAATTAACAACTCAGAAAGCTCACACAAGTTAATCTTTTCCTAACTATAAGCATGAGGTAGCAGGAGCTGGTGTGATTCCAGCGGGACCTTCTAACAGACTAATTTTTCAATATTGACAAGTGAGGCAAGTGTTGCATTGGACCAAAGGCTGAAGCTTGGCCATCTAGCATTCCAAGCAAAAGTGTTTCCTCCAAGTATTCCTTTTATTCTGCATTCCATCCTGGCTCCACCTGAACCTGAGACAGTAGGTTCTCCTGTACCAGCTGCTGTGGCAGTGCCTGCATCCAGGCCAATTTAGTCTTGGACCTTTTCTTTCTCTGGGATCCCTGCCCAGCATCTTCCTAGAGATGAGAGAGAGAAAAAAAAAAAAAGGAAAACACACCATTCTAAAGAATCTGGCATTCCTTCCTCCCATGCTAGGTGCCTGCCATCCATCTTCCCTGTCTCCATTGCTCTGTCATGCTCAACAGCTTCTGGCTTCTGTCCAGGCACCTGAACAAAGGACTACAATCTCCACTGTAGGCTGGTTTTCGGTTTTTTGTAAGAATGTTGCACAGCATTGCTAGTAAAAATTTCAGTTTTCCCCTCTAGGACAAACACATACCAAAATATGCAACTTTTTTTTGTGGGAAGAGATATTGTCCTGTGACTTCTACCCATTTCCTGAAGCCTGCAGAAATAAACCTTTACTTAAAGTTATACAGAAAATAGAATAAAATTAATACCAGACTTGCTTAGTATTTACCTGTGGTATTTATTGTATAGAGTTGTAAGAATATTGAAAACATGACACGAAGGTTAAGAAGTTACTCTTTATTTTAGACAACCCCATACATGTCTTTTCACATCCCACCATTTCTTGCCCTTAAGCCTCATCTTTTAGTTGAAAAATAAGGCTTAAGTGTAGGAAAAAGCACAAAGAGTAAATGTCACAGCACTAACAAGATACTTTTCTTGTGTATCTGATTTCCCCAAACTGACATTCTGCACAAGTCTTCCAAAAACAGTTTTGATACGTTTTCATGGGCAGGGAGGTTGGGGCTAACATGTTCAGATTGCTCAAATAGTGTGGGGAATGGCAGAATAAGGTTGGTTTTCTCTAACGTGACAGGAATTCTGAGTCCTTAATATGGGTTGATCTCCAAGGAGAAAAGGGATGTGCAATATTCCCCAAGCTTTTTGAGGAAACTTTTTCTTTCACAGAACACATCTGAAATAAGTTTGGAGTGTACTAGAAAATAAGTTTTTTTATAATGGAAATTAGCCTGATCTCCATGTTTTCCTCCCATTCTCTGTTAATACCAGCAACAGAGTGACTTAATCCAGACCACTAGTCATATTAAGATATGACATATTAAGGATGGAATGGAAAGAACCACCTCCTCAGTTTTCATTTCCATTTCTACTTTTTTTCTTCACCTTCCTTTCTAAGTTAAGCAATACCCACACCTCCTCTCAATCCAATTGGGTGTTACTTGCCTCCTTTTATTACAACAACTAATTTATCAGAATCTGAGGAGACCAAAAGAGTGCTACTGAAGCAAGATGGTGGGCTAGTGGAATTTGTCTAATAATTGCTAAAGACACTACAGAAGAAAACATACTCAAAGAGAGGAGGGTAGCCTTAGATTATTTAGCAACATTCAAGCAATACTCTTGTAAGCATTGATTAAATCCCCAGCAGCAAAACAGAAAGCATGACTGTGAATACCTCAGGCCTACGTATTGGCCTCTTGGCTTGAAATGTGGCTAGATTTACGTGAGAAAGGTGTTTGCCCTTAGAATCTATGTCATTGTTTCAGTCTGTCCAGTCTCTTCTGGGCCTGGGCACAGTTCTGGCACTGACTTGCAGCAGACATTTCCTGAGACAGCTTGACTACATCAAATGGTTGTAAAATAATCTCCGTGGTTATTAACTAATTAAACTTGCATTCAACACCATATGCTGATAGGATGAGGCAAAGGATAAGATTTAGATCTTAGATCTTTCCGAGTAGGTCATGTTAGATGACGACTAGGGAGAAGGGTTAGTTGCAAGCTGGATCTGTGCTCGGGCTTGGGCATGAAGGGAACAGTCTTCCCTATGGAAGTGCTGGGAGCTCCCTGAGCTCTGGTGCCAACTGCAAAGGTTTCACTCAAGGAAGGGTATGATGTGGGCATAAAACCATTCTTCAGACAGTTGAAGATGGTCCCCTTCTAGAGCCAAGAATACTAGTTGTCCTGCTTTGTCCATTTCTCTCAGCCCCAAGCGGTCCTGCAAAGAGAAATGCCATAATTAATCAAAAGGCTTATTGAAAAGTTTTGGGATAAAAGTAAAGAAAATGTTAGCTGAGCCCTGGCCGGTTTTGCTCAGTGGATAGAGTGTTGGCCTGGGTTCTGGGTTCTATTCCAGTCAAGGGTACATGCCTGAGTTGCAGGCTCAATCCCCAGTAGGGGGTGTGCAGGAAGCAGCTGAGCAGTTACTCATCATTTATGTTTCTTTCTATCCCTCTCCCTTCTCTGAAATAAAATGTTAGTTGAGATATATTCTCAAAATGCAATCTTTCCCCTAAGTATCACAATTTAGGTGTATTGCTAAAAAGGATACCTCGTATTTTTCCCCCTAAACATTAAAATTATATGCAGTTGAGATTATTCTATAGTTTTATATTTTGCTTTCTAAAGTTTTCCAAACCTTTTGGAGGACAAAACTGCCTCAAAATGTCAGTTAAGTGGAACTGAACCAAAGACAGAAGAACATTAGCTCGATAACTTAAAAACATCCAACCCCTAGGTAACAAATCTGGGACGTTTTCATATCTTGCAGTTGAAAACATTATTGCCCATGTGCCACAGAACAAATACGGTGGGAAGATGAGCAGTTATGACAGGATCAGAATGTTGCTTCTGTGGTTACCATCAGTTTGAGTTTCACAATAAGGAGGCTCTTAAGTTGTAATTTCCAAAACTTAACAGATCCTAGCTTCCCTCTTACCTCATCCAAGAGGGGCATCAAATGTAGGAGAAAAGCCAAGAGAGGAGATTAGGTTTCTGAAATTTAAAGAAATTCGAGTAGAAGGCAACTGGTTCAGACAGTTGTGCATTTTGGGGAATATATCTCCAGGATAAAATCTTTAGAGTGTGGAGCTGGAAGTGGTGAAATGCTGCAACCTCTGCTTGAGAAACCATCTACTGCAAAAAGAATTCACAACTCTAGTCATTACCTCCAGCAGGAGCTCCCCTTGTCAGTGCCTGATTTAAAACCACTTTCACAACTACTCATGCTTTAAAGTAACACCTGTCTCCTGTTTTCATTATGCCTAGGGGGCTTGTTGGATTTGATCCAGTCTGCATCTCAGCAAAAGAAGTCAGTTCTAAGCTTTATACCAGAGAGCTAGAAAGGCTGTGTCCCTTGGACATGCTTGAAAACCATGAGGTGCAGGTCCTTCAACCTTCAGATGTAGATTCTATAGACTGCACCTAACAGACTAGTGCAACAGTCAGCAGCCCATCCAGCCTCACTGAGACGGGTCAGACACCTCACGACCACTTACTGCTTTGGGGTGTACAGGACAGGGTCTACCACCCAAGAACCTGGCAGCTTCAGGAGTCGGGAGCCGAAAAGGACAGTACCTCTCCCCACCAGTTACCTGTGTGTACAGAGTGGTCTTCTGTAAGGGAATGGTTTCCTTGTCTTGGCCACTTCTGTAAAATCCAAACCACTGCAGGAAAGGAAGAAATACGCAAGTCACACACATGGCATATATACTGCCAAACTAATTTAAGGCCGGCTGGTAGCTAAGCCTAACCAAATAATGACGTCATGAAGTTGTAGTAAGGAGGAAAAATAGAATGTCTTGAGTCATCTTTTTTTTAAGGGTAGATCTTGAGAGATGAGTTAATCTTTTCCAAAGAGCTTTCCAATTGCCCAAAATTTCTGCTTCCGATAATTATTGAGCAACTACCCTCTGAAAATTCTTGTGCTGAACTACACACTCCAAGATGAATACTTATGGTCACTGTTTTTCAAAAATTTCTAGTTTCATGAGACACAAAAACAACTAATTGTTTAGCATAGTTTTCTATAAAGGTCACATACAAAATATTTTTGGCTTAAAGAGCCACATGGTTGTAACAACTCACTGCTGTCATTGTAATGCAAAAGCAGCCACAGACAATATTTTTTAAAACTTCAGTATGGCTGTGTCCCAAAGGAATTTTATGTATGGACACTGAAATCTGAATGTCATACAATTTTCACTGCATCGAATATTTTTTACTTTTTCAACCACTTAAAAATGTAGAACTATCCTAAAGTTCATGGGCCATTCAAAAGCAGGTGGCAGGCTGGATTTGGTCTGCAGGCCATAGTTTGCTAATTCCGAGTGGTCAGATGTGATGAGTGCTGTAATATCGGCTGATTCTACTTGAAATAGGATAGCATCCTAAGTGGAGAAAGTAATCTGAGTTTGGCCTTGAAAGGTAAATAGGAGCTTGTTAGGTGGAGAAGCCCAGAGAGGGCATTTTAAGAGACTGAAAAGCTTGAGTAAAGAAACGCAAGAGAGCCGAAACCGGTTTGGCTCAGTGAAGAGAGAGTCGGTCTGCGGACCGAAGGGTCCCTGGTTCAATTCCGGTCAAGGCATGTACCTTAATTGCAGGCACATCCCCAGTGGGGGGTGTGCGGGAGGCAGCTGATCGATGATTCTCTCTCATTGATGTTTCTAACTCTCTATCCCTCTCTTCCTCTTTGTCAAAAATCAATAAAAATATATTAAAAAAGAAAAAAAAAGAAACGCAAGAGAAAAAGCACAGGCCAGTAGTACAACGTGATCAGAGAATGTAAGTGGATGGTGTAGGGAAATTAGGTTGGAGAAACATGTTGAAGCCAGGTGAAGGCAGACCTTAATGTCAACCTTAGGGACTTACAGACTTTGGGCTGGTACCAGGCTTTGAACTGGGGTCACAGGTCTCTTTGACAATCTAATCAAAATTACAGTCCCTCAGAGAATTAACGTTATCATTTTGCATACAATTCCGGCTGGTGTCCCATTTATAGACCTCAGGTGAGGAACCCCTGCTCTACACAAAGGTAAGTGGACGGGACTAAGGTTTCCCCCAAAAAAGTCATTTACTACTCCGGTCTGTCCTGTGGCCTGCCCAAGCAGCCTCACCTCAGAATCCACAGGGTCCACAATGGAGTCATTGAGGAATTTCACCATCACAAACTTCTTCAGGGCCATCAGGTTTTTCTTGTAGGACTCATTGACACCCTGGGGGGACAGGCCAGCAGTATCTCAGAGTCATCATCAGGTTCCAGCAGGGGGATTGAAGCCTTTCAGTGCTCTGGTCTCCCTGACCCTGGACCACCATGTGTCTTTCCTATGATACAGGCTGCTTTTTCAGTTTCCTGCCCAGAATATACCTTGTACAGCCTTTTACTTAACATCCTATCTGACTGGCATGCCCCCAGAAGCCAGGGTGCCATCATTAATCTGTCACTGCACTCCACAGGGATCTGTCATATAGCTTCAAGACACCTAGCCAGAGAAAGCCAAGCCAAAATAAGAAGCTGCAAGTTCTGAGAGGTTTTGCTATACTACTGTTTTCCCCCCCTTGGCTGGTATGGATCAGTTGGTAGAGCATCGTCCTATGCACTGAAAGGTCACTGGTTTGATTCCCAGTCAGGGCACAAGCCTAGGTGGCAGGGACTCGGTCCCCAGAGTTGGGGTGGGTATCAGAGGCAACCAATCATTGTTGTTGTTGTTTTCTCTCTCTCTTTTCCTTTCTAAAACCAATTTTAAAAAAAACATTTAAAATAATATAAAATTAAAAAAACAACAAAAAAACAACAAAAAAAACCCTCTAGATAAACAATATAAATTAAGCCATCCAGTTTACCAGAATCTCTCAAATCATGCTTGTGTTTGGGACACACAGTCCCTTTGCAGTATCTCTTCTAAGTAACTCTCTTTCATGTGAAAATTTGACCCAAAAGGGACCTACCAGGAAGACTTCCCTCAGTAAACCAGCAGCTGTGAAGATGCATGTAAGCCAGCCAGCAACCCACCGAGCTGACCGTGCTTCAACACTCGGAAAGGGAACGGACATAAGGGAAGAGAGCCAAATGGACTTCAGCCTCCCTAAAAGGAACTGAATCTCAGAACCACTGGCTCCCTTCCTAGAAACAGAACTTCTGTTTCCTGGGTTGTCTGGGATACTTTGGGTAAACAGTCACTGCTGATCTTTTTATAAATGTCCCAAACAGAAAAATGAATGCGTAGCAGCAGCCTGGCTTGGGTACTTACTCTCTCTTGATTAATATCTGCCAAGAAGACGCTGTGGTTGCGGTACATGTCCTCCTTTATGGGGTCGTGCCAGTATTCTGCTTGCACCAGCCTGCAGGGGGAAAAAGCAAGGAGACCGTCAGCATGCCCCTCCGCATAGGTCACCAGGAGATCTCAAAGGGTCAGAGACCAGAGCCCTCAAGTCCCAGGCCTTGCCCTCTAATAGGGAAGAGAAGACTTCCTCCTATCCCAAGTTCATCACCTAGACACCTGAGGCAAGGATGTGCCATTTAATACAAAAGAACATCTGAGCCTGGCCTGTTTGGCTCAGTCAGCAGAGCGTCGGCCCTCGAACTGAAGGGTACCAGGTTCAATTCCATTCAAGGACACAAACCTTAATTATAGTTTAGATCCCCTGCCCTGGTCAGAGCATGTGCAGGAGACACCCAATCAATGTGTTTCACATCAGTATTTGTCTCTCCCCCTCCTTTCCTCTCTCTCTAAAAATTAGTGAAAAAAACATCAAGATGTTTAACAAAAACAAAGTACCCTAAGACTTAGGAAAAGGACCTATCAATATGGCTCCCCTGTACCACTGAGCTTCATCACAATCATGCTTCCAAGTCATGGAGACACACGCTGTCCCCTCCCACAACCCCAAATCTTACATTCTCCTTTGCTTTCTACTCATCCTGCAAGACTCAGCTCAAATCCCACCACCTCTGCCTCCTCTTCACCCATTTATCTCCTCTTCATCCATCATGCCGTGCTATACTGGGATGGAGGTCTAACCTTTCAGTCACAAAGAACTTATCCTACTATTGAGTGATACTAGTTTTCAGGACTCTGGTATGTCATGCAATTTTTAAGGACAAAGGCAGGTATTTGGTGGTTATATTATTTCAGACACAGATCAGTTCTCTTCACACTTCTTTACTTTGTCTCAGTCTCTCTCCACTCCCCCTTCCATTCCCTTCCAGCCCTCCCCTACCAAAACTGACACCTCTGCCATAAGTTCTCCCAGCAGCTAGTTCCCACTTAGCTCCTGCATCTACACAGCACTATTCCAGCTGGAGAAAAAGGCTTAGCATGGACCTGATGGGAATGTCCTCTACGGGGAGGGAGGAATTAGAACATGAGTGGGACTTTCTATCCCAGTTTAGCAGGAAAAGAAATCAAAATTTCTACTAAAGGAGCCAGCCCCCAGCCAGAGTGAAAGCTGCCGAGAGATGGTGATCCTGAAAGCGCCCACCACTCAGCAAAGCAGCGTGGCACTACAGCCCACTGGACCATCTCATCAGAGATGGTAGAAGCTCCTGACGCCCAGGAGACGGGACTGAGGTTAAAGGAGGCAGCAGGCAGACTGTCAGTGGTCACAGTGACACATATATCTGCTTATAAACGTATTGGAAAGCTTTTAAATGTTTACTTTATCCAATTTTTAAAAGGTGACAAATTCTGGCCGAAACCGGTTTGGCTCAGTGGACAGAGCATCTGTCTGCGGACAGAAAGGTCCCAGGTTCGATTCCGGTCAAGGGCATGTACCTTGGTTACGGGCATATTCCCGGTAGGGGGTGTGCAAGAGGCATCTGATCAATGACTCTCATTGATGTTTCTAATTCTCTATCTCTCTCCCTTCCACTCTATAAAAAATGAATAAAATATATATATTTTTTAAAAGGTGACAAATTCTGGACATTTATAAAATGCTGGTATTAGTGGTGGCCTTATCATTTTGTCTTGGCATTATTATCGCTTATTGTGTGAGAGTATTAGTCCTGCCTCTCCAAGACTGGAAGCTCCTCAGCAGTGACCCTCTGGCAGACGCTCAGTAGTAAGGGTTTGCCAAATGAAATAGAATGATGTAAGGATGTTAGATAAGCTATGAGCGAACTTGACAGTAAAGGAGTGTTAGGGTTTAGAGATGTGACGGGTATAGTAAGAAGAACAAGAGAAGACAAAGCTTCAAGAATAGGTGGTCAAGTGTCAAATGCTGAGAAATGCTGAGCAGAGCCCACACACTTCTCAAGGCCCCAGATCTTGCCAGGCCTGGTTCTGGTGACTCAGAATGGCAGTGGGGAGGCCTAATGGCTAAGGATAAAAGAAAGAATAAAGGCAGTAATCACAGGTTGGTCACCTTTTTGTGTGAAAGGAAATAGCTGAGAAGGAACACAGGAAGAAAATAAGAAAGCCTGGTGCACACTATTCAATCCTTACAGGAATTCCACAGAGTAAGTACCATTAAACATTATGCTCATGTTTACAAGTGAGCCACGGGAAGGACATGGGAATGAGCAGAAGCTGGAAGTGCTGCAGAAGGTGTGGAGGTGAAGGAGAGGGGGGCTCCTCAGGAGGTGGACAGAGAAGAAAAATGGGTTTGTACTATTTACCTCCTTTTTCTCTTAAGTAGCTCTCCCAATGCCACCCAGCCAGCACTAGAAAGAGTAAGACATGATCCCAAAACCGGTTTGGCTCAGTGGATAGAGCATCGGCCTGCGGACTGAAAGGTCCCAGGTTCGATTCCAGTTAAGGGCATGTACATTGGTTGCGGGCACATCCCCGGGAGGGGGAGTGCAGGAGGCAGCCGATCAATGTTTCTCTTTCATCGATGCTTCTAGCTCTCTATCCCTCTCTATTCCTCTATGTAAAAAAAATCAATAAAATATATTTTAAAAAATAAAAAGAAAGGGTAAGACAAGAGCCTAAATCTTCTGAGTCTACACTCTCCAGTGCAGCACACGAAGAGACAGGGAAGAACAGCTCCCAAGCCAGAACTTCCCACCACAGGCCACCCCTGGTGACATAAGCCTCTACCTTCTGAGGCTCTAGCCACTGTGGCTTAGAGATTATAATAGTAACACATAGCACTTACTATATACCAGGCCTATTGTAAGCACTTTACATATATTAAACTATTCAATTCTTACAAAAATTCCATAGAGTCAGTACTATTAGTATACGCATGATTACAAATGAGGCAACCATGCTCCGAGTGTTTAAGTAGCTTGCTCAAAGTCAAAGTGTTAGTATGTAATAGAACCAGAACACAGGAGGGGAAGACTGGGCTTTTCAATACAATGATGTTCTCTGAAAGTTGTTTGTTATGAGAACTAGAAATGAGTACAATATGGAATCAATAAACTGTGAAGTCATACAACAAAATGTCATGGAGCAAATCAGACAAATCAGCTTTATGTATATGTAATAACATGTTTACATCTCAAAAACTTAATATTGAATCCAAAAATCATTTGTAGAATAAATGCACAATAAGATATACATTACATACAATTTTAAATATACAATATAATACTATTTGTTGACTATAGATAGGTCTGTATATGATACAAACTTTTTTTAAAAAATATATATTTTATTGATTTTTTACAGAGAGGAAGAGAGAGGGATAGAGAGTTAGAAACATTGATGAGAATCATTGATCAGCTGCCTCTTGCACACCCCACTACTGGGGATGTGCCCGCAACCAAGGTACATGCCCTTGATCGGAATCGAACCCGGGACCTTTCAGTCGGCAGGCCAATGCTCTATCCACTGAGCCAAACCGGTTTCAGCTATGATACAAACTTTTAATAGGCTATGTTCTGATTTGACAGTGGTTGTCACTACAGAGGAAGGACAAAGAATGGGATCTGGGAGAGATGTAAAAAATGCAAATTTATCTCAAATGTTTCTGTTCTTAAAAGTATCTGAGGTAAATATGACAAAATACTTATTTTAGGTACACAGAAGCTTGTTGCATTACTCTCTGTTCTTTTTTTTTAGCATGTTTCATTAATTTTTTTTGGAGAGGAAGGGAGAGGGAGAGAAGGATCAATATGAGAAAGAAAGATCAAATGATTGCCTCTTGTAGGCACCCTTATCTGGGATAAGATTAAAACCTATGTGTCCTGACTGGGAATCAAACCAGTGACCTTTTGGATGGCACTCAACCAACTAAGCCACACCAGCCAGGGCAATCTGTACATTTATTTATTTATTTATTTATGCTAATCCTCACCCAAGGATATTTTTTCTATTGATTTTATTTTATTTTATTTTTAAATATTTTATTGAATTTTTACAGAAAGGAAGAGAGAGGGACAGAGAGTTAGAAACATCGATGAGAGAGAATCATCAATCAGCTGCCTCTTGCACATTCCCCACCGGGGATGTGTCCGCAACCAAGGTACATGCCCTTGACCAGAATCGAATCCGGGACCTTTCAATCCCCAGGCTGACGCTCTATCCACTGAGCCAAACTGGTCTCAGCTCTATTGATTTTATTAGAGAGAGTGGAAGGGAGGAGGAGAGACACAGAGAGAGAAACACCAATGTGAGAGACACACATCAGTTGGTTGCCTCCAACATGTGCCCCGACTGGCACAGGGAATGATCCTGCAACTAAGGTACACGCCCTTGACCTGAATCAGACCCACAATCCTTCAGTCTGCAGGCTAATGCTATATCCACTGAGCCAAACCGGCCAGGGCACACTCGTACTTTTATGAACAACGGAAAAGTATCTGAGGCAGCTTGAGTTGTTGCCTCATTCTTTCCAGGAAAGGGTGCGACAAAGATGTGGGCAAAGATGTGGGCCAAGTGGGACAACTGAAGAAAAGCACTCTTTGAGCCACGGGGGTGGGGGCGCAGGCCCTGCAAAGCAAGGGGCACGCAGGCTGGGAGCCAGGGACCAAGGAGAGGGCCAGCTGGGAGAGCAGAGCTGGCCCAGAAGACAAGAGGCCAAGGGTGGGGGATGGCAGGAGAAGAGGAGGAAGGAGAAATCAGGAAGGGCTGCTAGAGGCTCAGAGGGGAACTACAGGGCAGATTTCAGTCAGAAGGCGAGAGAGCTGTTACACTCACCATTACTCACTGTCCCCACCATGCCACTTCCTCACCGCCCTAGTCGTGTGGCTGGTTGGAGCAGTTGTCCGTACACCAAAAGGTTGTGGATTTGATCCCCAGTCTGGGAGTGCATTGGAGGCAACCAATCCATGTTTCTCTTTTACATAGCTGTTTCTCTCCCCCCCCACCCTTCCTCATTCTCTAAAACCAATAAACATATCCCTGGGTAGGGGTAAAAAAAACAAAAAACAAAACACGTCCTCACTGCTTATTCGGGGTATTAGGATATCAAATTTGCTTTGCTACGGTTACATTCTCTGAGCAGTGTAGAAGACATCATCTGGGGTCTCTGTCTACATCAAAACCATCCTCTCTCGTGTGGGAACTGCACCCTTCCCGCCCCACCTGCCAGTTACAGGAGCGGGTATGTACCATGTGGTCCCACACTTCTCTGATCACAGCCAGTGAGAACAAGTGGGAACCTGACCTGAGCTGAGGCATGGTCCCTTCCCTAAGAATTTGAATTGGGGCAGAGAGATTCCTGTCTCAGGCTGAGATAAGCTACTAAAGGAGCTGTGCCAGGCACTTTTACCATGGCAGCAGGGGTTGGTCTGCCTGAAGAGAAAAAAAAAGTGAAACAAAGACAGCAGCAATGACAACAGTTGGAGAGAGACTGCCTTAGCTCTGGATGGCTCCATTTTTTTTTTTTTTTTTTTTAAAGAAACCCGGGCTGAAGCTCTATCCACGGAGCCAAGCTGGCTAGGGCTCAGTGTGGCATCTTATCATCATCCTGTGTTTGTAACCTGGAAGTCTGGTATTTCTCTAGTTACATTGCTCCAGAAAGTAAAATTTACTTCTCTTGCTAGGGTGGGGAAGAGTAATCACTTAAATGTGCACTTAAGAGAATTGGGGATTCTGAGAATTCCTTGTAGATTTTTTTTTCCTTGTAGATTTTCAACAAAAAGTCCTGTGCACTTATCTCTATCATTCAAAGTATCTTAGGCATCTTGCCCCGGACGACTGGTTGGAGTGTTGTCCCGTACACCAAAAGGTTGCAGGTTCAATTCCCAGTTGGGCCATAAATAGGAGGCAATTGATAAGATGCTTCTCTCTCTCTTCCCTCCTCGCTCTCAACCACTTTTCACTTTTTTTTCTTCCCACTTTTAATCAGTATTTAGGTGTCATTGTCCCCCTACTAACTGCTCATTTGTAGTCACTAATATAATAATTCTGACTGCCAATGGTTGTTTGGTTCACAAAAGAAATATAAAGAAAAGGATGTGCTTTTCTTAGCCCATTTGAGTTAGAACGAGAAGAATAAAGAGTAAATTAAGAACAATAAAGTATAAAGAGGCTATATATATATATATATATATATATATATATATATCCATGAGAACAAAGACCATATAGGACATTAATAACCAAGCTATGGCTAGTCAAACCATGTAAGGGGGTAAAGCTTAGCAGTGGTTTGAGCTGCTTGGGGGAAGATGGAAATATCAAGTATCTTAGTTTCCTTCACTGACCATCAGGTGGCACTGTTGACCCGATAGCTTTGTAGCTATGCATAAGGCAAGAAAAGGAGGAGAGCGAGCTCCCGGTTGTTTCTGAGTCACTCACAAGGCTATACTTGGGAAAATGGCTTCAAGAAAGTGTTGTACTGAAGAGCTGTTATTAGACAAGAATGACCCACTTGGAAAACCCATAGAATAGATACCATAGCCAAACTAATTGGTCCCGGTTATCACCTAGAATATCCTAGGTGTACTGAATCTGAATTTCTAGGAATAGAACTCTAGAACCCATTTTTAATGAATTTCCCAGGGGTTCTAATGTATATTTTAGTTTAGAAACAACTGACAAGAACATTTTCCAAAAGTGACTGCATGCTTTAAATACTCACACACACGCGCACACACACAGAGAAAAATAATACCCAAACACACTGAGTATTGGGGACACTGATGTAGGAGACTAACTACGTGCTGCTGACGACATGAAGAATCTGTCCTCCGATATTAATAGTAATTGCTTGGGCTTGATACTTTCTAAAGGCTTTTTGTTTGTTTTATGATGGACATTTATTCTGTTGTAATTACATTCTTCTTATATAGAAAAATGTCCTGTTTCTTTCTTTAAAAAAAAAAAATACATTTTATTGATTTTCTTACAGAGAGAAAGGGAGAGGGATAGAGAGTTTGAAACATTGATGAGAGAGAAACATCAATCAGCTGCCTCCTTGCATACCCCCTCCTGGGGATGTGCCCGCAACCAAGGTACATGCCCTTGACCAGAATCAAACTGGGACCCTTGAGTCCGCAGGCAGACGCTCTATCCACTGAGCCAAACCAGTTAGGGCTCCTATTTCCTTTTTAAAATTATTATTAAAGCAGTTTTAGATTTACAAAACATTTAGCAGATAGTAGAGAGGTATTTGGGGGGGGGGGGAGGTCGCATTTGAATATCACTAACCACTATTCCTGGAATGAAAGTCAGCATGACATTTTCATGAAGTGCTGGTTCTATGTCCTTTTCAGCTACACCATACATACCGTTCTTGAACAGCTTTATTGTAAGCCCCAGCATTCAGTGTCTTTCTGATCAAGTCACAGATGTGAGAGCTCTCTCCTGGGCACCGAGGGAGTCCAAAGACACCTAGAGTAGTAGGAGACAAATACGCATCCTTCAATAATTCTGTATTGAACACCTACTATGTCCAAGGCACTGTGAGAAACAAACAAAAAGGCAGAGCTTGACCCTGATTTCATTCAAATATTCTTCAAGAACGTAATGTACTGAGGATTAACACTATCACCAGCTTCCTCTTTGTCCCCCCACTCTTTTCTGCCTAAGAACCTTGGACCTGGTCCTCCCTGGAGGATATACAGGCATACCTCAGAGATTCTGCAGGTTCAATTCCAGACCACCACAATAAAGCGAATATTGCAATGAGTCATTCAAATTCTTTGGTTTCGAAGGATATGTAAAAGTTATGTTTACACTATATTATAGTCTGTTAAGTGTGCAACAGCCTTTAGATCTAAAAATATAACGTACATACCTTAATTAAAAATATACTTTATTGCTAAAAAAAAAAAAATGCTAATAATCACCTGAAACCTCAGCGAGTTGTAATCCTTTTGCTGGTGGAGGGTCTTCCTCAGATATTGATGGAAATGTATATTTGCAAAGCTCAATAAAGCAAAGTGCAATAATACAAGGTACACCTGTACTTCTCTTGCTGCTTCAATGGCTGGAGAAGTCATAGCTACCTACCCTAACTCAAGTAGTGTCCAACCCCATTCCTTCCCCTCTCCCAGTTACACTGTCATCCCCATTATCCTCAATAATGTTTTGGGGGGTAAGGGGCATAGTTCTGAGCACATATGACAATAATTCATTTAATCCCCACAACCACCCTGTGGAACAGAAATCATTTCCAGCCCCCTATTACAAATATGAAACTTTAAAGCAGAGATGTTCAAGGTTAGATAATAAGTGACACGGCCAGATGAACACAGCAGTTTTGGCTCTAGAGCTTATACCTTTAACCAATACAGCCACAATGCTGCCTCTCAAGTATTAACCCTTTCATTTTTCTCTTTATCGTGGTTACCACTGTCTATATTCATTTTATTTATTTCATGTCTATCTTCCCGCTCTCCCCAGAAATCGAAATTTCATGAAGGGACCTTGTCTTGTCTCTAGGTTTTCAATAAATATTTGCTGAACGGATAAAATGATAAAGCTGTTTTTACCAATTTGCACTTGTATAATACTTGCACTTTTAGAAAGTATTTCCTACCTATTATTTCACTTCATGCTCTAAAAAACTCCCGTAAGAAGAGCAGAGCCTTATTTTAGTTTCCCTCACCTGGGAAAGAGATCTAGGATACCAAATTACTTGCCCGTCGGTAATAGTTAATTGGGTGAATCCGGTTTCCTGGTTATAAGGAGAGTCCTTCCACACCTCCGCTCTCCCACCTCACAGCTATGCCCATCAGAACAGAAAGTTCTATTCCAGGCACATCCTTCCTCAAGAGTCTGTAATTCTGTCTACACAGAAAACCTGTTGCTTTCCAAGGATCTAACAGCTACTGTTAATTTTACTGACAAAAAAACAAACCACTTACACATTATCCGTTACCTAAGCCTAAATTCAACAGGCATCGCCAAAGCCAGGAAACAGGGAAGGCTGTTACACTTTCCTAATTCCTCAGCCAGCACCTACCAGGAGGCTGCAAACATCTCACCTCCAGGAAATCATGTCAATTAAATTGGAGAGAAGTAGATGACAATCTAATCATTCATTTGTGTTCCAGGCCTATGGAACCCTAAGTATCTTCCTGTTTCTTCAAGAATGCTCGTTAGTTTGTTAGAAGCTGGGGGAGGAAGAGAAGGGGGGAGACAACACAGAATTTTGCAAGGATGGCTGGCTGACTTCCTGTATAAAGAGCTGCTGGAATTTTTTTTTTTTTTTAACCAAATGGTCATGTGGGTTAAAACAGAAAAAAAAAGAGGCACAGAGCCAAAGTTACCTTGATGTTGTCCCCCAATTGAGATCAGATTGATCATGGGAGGTGAGGGACATCTCTGAGCCACTGCCCTCCTGAGGAGGAAAAAAGGATTATCACCTCTGGCTGTCGGATGGAAATCTATCACCAACAATCAATCCCTCAGATTAAGACACTCGTTCTCTGTGGTTCTCCAAGGCCACAGAGTTTCAGGATTTTCTTCTGATATCACCAAATACAAGTTTTTATTCTTTCATAGAAAATGAGTGAAGTTCCGTAAAGCTTCTGGCATGGGAACACTTTAGAACAGTTCCCAGGGGCCGGCTCTGTTTGCAGAGCACACCCAGGCCGTCCCCACCGCCTTCCCCAGGGCACTTTCCTGGCCTCTCTCTTTCCCCGAAGCTCCAAGGGGCCTTCCTTTGCCTCAGTAACTTGTTCCCTGAGTCCATTTCTTCTACAGCTCACTTCCACTTCTGTGACTATAAATAAGTTTTCTCTACAGTTTGGGGGATGAGGTAGCATAGCTTCCCTTCCACGAGTGAAGATCCAAAAATAATTAGAGGAGTCAATTTATCTGAACAAGAAAAAAGAAATCAATTCCATGTAACTGGTATGACGGAAAGGAACTTACAGAAACTGGCCTCCCTGAGAGAAGCCCATAGCGTTGTAGCCTTGCTGCAGTTTAGGGTCCTTAGCGAGAATCTGACACACCGTTGTTACTTGGGAATTGACATTCAGGAAGAAGCTGTTCTCCACATCCTGAAAGAGGAGCCACAGAGAAGTGAAAGACGGGGCTGACAATAAACACTGGCGTCTTCTCTGAGAGGGGCACTTGTTTAGCTTTGGTTGGAATCCTCACAGAAGCCCCTCAAGAGTTAAACTGCCATTGCTTGATAGGCTGCAAAGACGTAAGGCAAAGCAGCTGAGCAGTACATTCTATGAAACTAGTCAGCAAACGTCCAAGGAGCAGAGCTGTAAAGAGCCTTACCTCGATCAGGGTCTTCCCAATCTCTAGAGATAAAACGTAAATTCCAGGTATCTTCTTCTCAACCATTTTTTTGATAGCACCCATGCTCAAGGGGTTACAGCAGCTGTCTCCTAGACAACAAGGACAATGATGGGAACTTATGAATCATAAGATTTTTAAGAACTTTTGTGCTTCAAAGGGCATTATCAAGAATGTGAAAAGACAACATACAACATGGGAGAAAATATCTGCAAAACATACATCTGATAAGGGTTTAATATCCAGAATATACAAAGAACTCTTATAACTCAATAAGATAACCTAATTAAAAATGGAAGAAAAAAAAAGATTTCAACACGCATATCTCCAAAGATGATATACAAATGGCCAACAAGCACATGAAAAGATGGTCAGCATCATTGCTCATTATGGAAATGCAAATCAAAACTACAATAAGACACCACTTCGTACCTTCTAGGATGGCTTCCATAAAATAATTAATTTTTAAGAATGAAAAATAGCAAGTATTGGCAGGATATGGAGAAATAGGAACCTTTGTACACTGCTGGTGGAAATGTAATATGACACAGCCTCTGGGAAAAAGGCTGGTAGTTCCTCAAAAAGGTAAACATACAGTTACAGTTACCCTATGACCTGGACATATGACTTCTAGATACAGACCCAAGAGAAATGAAAACATGTGACCATACTAAAACGTGTACATGAATGTTTATAGCAGCAATATTTATAATTGTCAAAAGGTGAAAATGACCCAAATGTCCACCTATGGATGAATGGATAAGCAAATTGTCATACACACACACACACACACACACACACACACTCTGACACATGCTACAATGTGAATGAACCTGTAAACATTATTATAAGTGAAATAAGCCAGATACAAAAGATCATCTATTGTACTGTTCCTTTTAAAGGATATATTCAAAATAGGCAAATCCATACCGACAGAAAACAGAATGGACATCTCAAGGGAGCTGTGGGAGAGGGAATGAAGAATTACTTTTTAATGGGTACCAGCATTTTCTGGGAAATAAAAATGTTTTAACTAGAGAGAAGTAGTGGTTGCACAACACTATAACACACTACATGCCACTGAATTCTCTATTTTATTATGATTAATTATATGCTACATGAGCTTCTCCTCAATTTAAGAAAGAGCATTCTTGCTTAGCTCATGTTTATCAAGTAATAAACTTCAAAAGCCCATACAATATAACTGGGACACCAAATTTACAACTGAAAAATAAGCAGAGGTGCATATTCCCCTCCCTTATCATCAGAAACATTGTGGGTTAATGGACTCAAAAACACTTTGGGCCAAAACCAGTTTGGCTCAGTGGATAGAGCGTTGGTCTGCGGACTGGGGGGGTCCCAGGTTCGATTCCGGTCAGGGGCATGTGCATTGCTGCGGGCACATACCCAGTAGAAGGTGTGCAGGAGGCAGCTGGTCAATGTTTCTCTCTCATCAACGTTTCTGGCTCTCTGTCCCTCTCCCTTTCTCTGTGGAAAATCAATGAAATATACTAAAACAACAACAACAAACCAAAAACACTTTGGGCCAGAAGGGGTCAATGGGGGGAAAAGGAGGACATAAGTAATACTTTCAAAATTAAGATTTTTTAAAAAACCACAACGCTTTGGAACTGAATTTCTCTTTAAGACCAAGTCTAGGTAGGGTAAGACAAGTGAAGCACATAGGACACAAAATTTAAGGAGGCACTCACTCTCTGATTCATGTAAGTGCTGACCCTCAACTTGTAACGAACTAGAGACTGTTTCCTTAAATCTAACACTCCAGGGCAGTGGCTCTCGAGCCACCTGCGGCTCTTTGGCCCCTTGAGTTTTTAGCAAAGGCCAGCTTAGGAGTACCCTAATTAAGTTAATAACAGTGTACTTACCTATATAATTTAAGTTTTAAAAATGTGGCTCTCAAAAGGAATTTCAATCATTGTACTGTTGATATTTGGTTCTGTTGACTAATGAGTTTGCTGACCACTGCTCTAGGGCAATGTGCGGCAAATATTTTGAAAACATGCAATACCTATTTAAACATGGGCAATAACCTCTCTTCCCAAATAAAAAAATGACAACAGCCAACACAACAATAGCCATCTGGTGTGAATGAATCAAAATTACACCTTTCTTTCAGTCCGACTGGCAACAAACATTTTTGCTGCGCCGCAGAATTTTAGTAATTAGTTGTAGGTGCCATGAGATGAAAAGGGCTGAAAATCATTGCTAGGGGCTTCCTTGTTTCCACCCAAAGCCCAGTCCTGTTTCTCTTCCTGTTTTAAGGAACCAGAACTAAGAATGGGAAGCAAAGTGACTGACGGGCCACTGAGTGGGAGAAGTGGGATGATGTTATTTCCATTTTAACTTAATCATCCTGATTTCAACCTGAGAGGAAGCTTAAGAATTACTTTTTAAAGAGGAAAAGGCTAAGGATTACAGCATCTGAGATTTCTCTATTGGTAACATTCAATGCACTAAACTGCAATTGTTGGCTCTTACCTGCCTCCCTACGGACTGACTGTGCTCGGGAAGGACATGGAGCATCTTGTGTTTGCCTTTAACTCCCCTGTAGCAACCAGGGGCCTGGCACCAAGCCCTGACAAGACTGTCTATATTTGCTGCCTCTGATTCCTCTCTGAACACTTTCCTTCTACCCATTCCAACAAGACTCTCATTCTTTCAAAACTGCTTTTGTCATGGTCTTGGATGCTATTCATGTTGCTAAATCCAGTTACCAATTCTCATCCCTTCTCTTGATTGACCTGTAAACATTCCATTTAGTTTCATTCCTCTCTTCCCCTTGAAACATTGTCAGCTGTTTCCCAGGACACTGCACTCTCCTGACTCGCTTCTACCTCCCTGGTTGTCCCATCACTGCCTTCTCTGCTAGTTCCTTCTCATCTCCTCACCCTCCATGTCAGGAGTGCCTCCTCTCCCCTCTTCTGTGTACACTCACTCCCTAGATTATATATCCTCACCCAGTCTCACAGCATTAAATACCAAATATATGCTGAAGGCTTCCCCAAGTTAAATCTGCAGCATGTACCTCTCTCCTAGACTGCACACTCCAAATACCTCTACATCTCCTGGGTGTCTTAACAAGCTTCTCAAATTTAGTAAGTTCAAAAGCAGACCTCTGATCTTCTCACCACCCCAAGTGTGTGCTCCCCTCAGGTCCCCACTTTGGGGAAATGCCAACTTCATCTTTCAGGTTGTTGAGGCCAAAACCCATGGAGCCATCCTTGATTCCTTTCTATCTATTTCATTCCACATCTCATCTGTTAGCAAATCCTTTTGTTTCCATCTTAAAAATATTCCAAACTTTTGACCACCTCTCCATTTCACTATACTGTTTCAAGCCACTGTCATCTCTTTAAGTTTTGTTTTGTGGTGTTTTTTGTTTGTTTGTTTGTTAATCCTCACTCAATGATATTTTCCCAGTGATTTGTAGAGAGTGGAAGGGAGGAAGAGAGGGGGAGAGACAGAGAGATAGAAACATCAATATGAAAGACACACATTGATTGTTTGTCTCCCATAGGAGCCCAACCAGGGCCGGGGATGGAGCCTGCGACCGAGGTGCCGGTCCTTGACTGGAATCGAACCCAGGACTCTTCAGTCCGCAGGCAAATGCTCTATCCACTGGAGCCACACTGGCTAGGGCCACTGTCATCTTTTGTTTAAGTTACTGTAATGGCATCCTAACGTCTCCCTGTAAAGGTCCCTGACCTCCTACAATCTATTCTCAACTAGAGCGGTCCTTTTAAAAGTTAAGATCAGCCGGGACTGGTTTAGCTCAGTGAATAGAGCGTCGGCCTGCGGACTGAAAGGTCCCGGGTTCAATTCTGGTCAAGGGCATGTACCTTGGTTGCGGGGGGGTGTGCAAGAGGGAGCGTCGGCCTGCGGACTGAAAGGTCCCGGGTTCAATTCTGGTCAAGGGCATGTACCTTGGTTGCGGGGGGGTGTGCAAGAGGCAGCTGACCGATGATTCTTCTCATCGATGTTTCTAACTCTCTATCTCTCTCTCTTCCTCTCTGTGAAAAATCAATAAAATATATTTTTTTAAAAAAGATTTAAAAAAATAAAAAATAAATAAAAGTTAAGATCATGTCACTCATCTCAACTGCCCTCTCTAAGGGCTTCCCATCCCATTCCAGCCAAAGTCCCTCCAGTAGCCTTAGTGGGCCTAACACCTGCAGCCCCCTTTCCCCACCCCTGACCTAAACCCCTATTTTCTTCTCCTTGTTCACTCAGTTCCCTGAATGTAGTTTCTAGAACATACCAGACATGCTTCTGCCTCAGGGCCTTTGCATTTGCCATTCCTTGTACCGGATAGCCACAGGTTATCTCCCTAGTGCACTTCAGTCTTTGCTCAGATATCGCCTTCTCAGAGAATCCTTTCCTGATCTTGCTCTGTAAAGTTGCAAGCCACCATCTTCGGTTTCCATCTCCCTCTCTGTTTTATTTTTTTACTTTCCCAAGGCACTCAACACTTACCTGAATAGCCTATTGGAAAGTAAGCTCCAGAAGAGAATCTAGTCTGTGGTACTCTCTATTGTGTCCTCCGCATCTGCAGATGCTCAGTAACTATGCTATGTGATGCCTAACAAATCTCTGTTCGATGTGTGAATGGATAAAAGGATGGATGCTGGGTCCCTGCAGCCACATCCCAGGCTGTGGTACCTGATGCTCCATCCTGTGGCCGCTGCTGTGAGGATTAAACAGACTCGGCGTGAAGCCCGGACGCAGTGCACACACAGCCCTCCGGGAGCGCTCTCCAGAGGACAGGTCCTCCCCCTGCTCCCTTCTCGATGCAGAGCAGCCCCCCATCCCAACGTCGGGCCAGCCGGCGGCTGAGGGACCGCGGTCCCGCCCTTGCACTTTGCAGGCGCGAACCCGCGCTGGAAGAAGAGGGAAAGAGTCGCCAAACCCTTTCGTCCTCCTCTCACTCACTCACCCATCCCATGCCAGATCACCAGCGGCAGCGGCCCGGGCGGGCCGAGATGCCCCAGCCGCAGGGCAGCGCAGGACGCCGGCAGGAGAGCGACGGCCCAAAGCCACAGCGCGCTGGGCGACGCCATCTTGGCTCGGTCACGTGACGGCGCGCCCCCGGCGGCCTGGGCGCGGGCCGGGCGCGGCGCTTCCTCCGGCCCCGCCGCCGCCGCCGCCGCCGCCGCCGCCGCCGCCCCCGCCCGGGCTTCCCCGGGCGCGCGCCGGGCTGTGCCCAGGCCTGTTGGGCTGGTTACAGGCAGGACGCCTCGGTGAGTCAGAAAGTCATTTATTCACCACTTACCTCACACCAAACAGAAGGTGACCAGGCGTCCCGCTCTGGGCGGGACAGTCCCGATTTCTAACAATTTGTCCCAAGATGACATCTCTCTGTAGGAAGAAATTAATTAGTGGCATAGGACTCAATAAAATACATGTTTATATATTAAAAAAAAAAAAATGTCCCGCGGCGTTTTAAAAAAGTCCCGATTTTTTGTACAATTTGACAAATGGTTAGAAATCGGGACGTCCGGGAATTAAGATTCAAACACTATTCCCAGTGCTTTAAGACTGTTCACTGGTTTGTTCTCATAACAACTGTGTACTCTTCGCCCCATTTTACAGTCAGCACGCGGAGGCTCAGAGCAGAGTTTGGGTGAGGTGCCACGGTCACAGAGAGCAAATTGGAGGTTCTGTTACTCACAGTGTCTCCCACACTTCTCTCATGATGAGAATCACCTGGGGGAGCTGTTAAACTACAGATTTCTGAATCCCAACTAAGAAGTACTAAACTAGAAATTTTGGGAACATATAAGTAAAATTGTATACTTAACGTGGTGCTTAACTAGAATTTTTGGGAACATATAGGTAAAATTGTATTCTTAACTAGAAGTTTGGGAAACACTGTGTTACAGGCAGACCAGAGACAGCCCTTTCACACCTCCCAAAAAAGATGGTATTGGAGCCAAAACTGGTTTGGCTCAATGGATAGAGCGTCGGCTTGGGGACTGAAAGGTCCCAGGTTTGATTCCGGTCAAGGGCATGTACCTTGGTTGCGGGCACATCCTCAGTGGGGGGTGTGCAGGAGGCAGCTAGTCGATGTTTTAAACTCTTATCTCTCTCCCTTCCTCTCTGTACAAAGTCAATAAAATATATTTTTTTAAAAAAGATGGACAGCCCTCTTAGTCAGAAGGAGAGGCTGTCCCAAGCTCGATTCTTTTTTTTTTTTTTAATATATTTTATTGATTTTGTACAGAGAGGAAGGGAGAGAGATAGTTAGAAACATCGATGAGAGAGTCATCGATCAGCTGCTTCTTGCACACCCCCTACTGGGGATATGCCCGCAACCAAGGTACATGCCCTTGACAGGAATCGAACCCAGGACCCTTCAGTCCCCAAGCCGACGCTCTATCCATTGAGCCAAACCGGTCTTGGCCCAAGCTCGATTCTTGTCTTCTTGTATAGATTACTTTTTTAAAATATATTTTATTGATTTTTTTACAGAGAGGAAGGGAGAGAAATAAAGAGTTAGAGACATTGATGAGAGAGAAACATCCATCAGCTGCCTCCTGCACACCCTCCACTGGGGATGTGCCCGCAACCAAGGTACATGCCCTTGAACCGGAATCGAATCCGAGACCCTTCAGTCCACAGGCCAAGGCTCTATCCACTGAGCCAAACTGGTTTGGGGTATAAATTACTTTTTTAAAAATATATTTTTATTGATTTCAGAGAGGAAGGAAGAGGGAGAGAGACATAGAAATATCCATGATGAGCTGAGGCAAGTTTTGCTCAGTGGATAGAGCGACAGTCTGCGGACTGAAGGGTCCTGGGTTCGATTCTGGTCAAGGGCATGTACATTGGTTGCCGGCACATCCCCGGTAGTGGGTGTGCAAGAGGCAGCTGGTGGATGTTTCTCTCTCATCGATGTTTCTAGCTCTCTATCCCTATCCCTTCCTCTCTGTAAAAAAAATCAATAAAATATATATATTTTTAAATAAGATATCTGGAACATAATAAAAAATGATCAATAATTCCTTTCCTTTATAAAACAAAAAAGAAATATCCATGATGAGAGAGAATCATGGATCGGCCACCTCCTGCATGCCCCACTGGGGATCAGACCCACAACCCGGGCATGTGTCTTTCACCAGAATGGAACCTGGGACCTTTCAGTGTGCAGGCCGAGGCTCTATCCACTGAGCCAAACCGGCTAGGACCGTATAAATTACTTTTTTTTAAAAACATATATGTATTATTGATTTTTTACATTAAGGAAGAGAGAAGGATAGAGAGTTAGAAACATCGATGAGAGAGAATCATCAATCAGCTGCCTTTTGCACACCCCCCTCTGGGGATGTTCCTGCAACCAAGATACATGCCCTTAACCAGAATCGAACCCGAGATCTTTCAATCCGCAGGCCAACGCTCTATCCACTGAGCCAAACCTGCTAGGGCCGAGTAAATTACTTTAAGTGAGAGACCCTGTGTGTTGTGATAAAGCCAATTTATTAAAACAATTAAAACAAGCACATTTGTTAAAGAAGCAAGGCAAGCTGACTTGTGAAGCATAGACTGGCTCTCAGCTAATCCCAAAACAGGGTTGAGGTCCAGGTGTTAGATCCCCCCCTGAAGTGCTGCTTGGAGTGATTTGTGGCCTTTTCAGAATTCATGAGCAGCACCTGGCAATTTTATCTTTCCAAGCGAGCTGCTGGGCTTTCTGTTTAGGGAGTAAAACTGCCCTTTTATCACTTCTCCCTCTCCTCCCCACTGCTTTCCTGCACTCTCTAATTAGGGGAGTGTTTTAACCATTTGCTCTCAAGTGTCCTTGGCTGGGGAAGATCAAATGGCTTGTTACTTACGAGCTGGCTGCTAATTGCCTATACTGTTTGGTCTTATTTTGACTTCCTTCTCTCGGTTTTAATTCCTCTTGCCCTGGAATTTTCCTAGCTTTTCACAGCCCTGTTAACAGTTGCAAAGTCGTTGTTTTAACCTCTGCATTGGACTGCCATTGGAAGGAAAATACTTTGGGAAGGAAGAACGGAAGGGAGAGAGCTCTCTATTAGAAATGAAAGGGGAGAGATAATTTCCAGCCAGTGCCAATCAAGGCAGGGTATGTGGTACTTATTAAAGACCCAAAAGGGAAAGGTGGAATCTCATCAGGCAAAGATGGAAGGTGGGAGAAGGACTCAAATGAACTAAAGTAGAGAGGAGGAAAAGTAGTGTGTTTTCTGGAAATATCAGGGCTTTCCAGAATGACAAGAACAACTGTTGGATGTTTAAGAGTGATGAAAAACTTAGGTGCTTTGACTCAGTGGATAGAGCAATCTGCCTGTGGACTGAGGGGTGCCAGGTTCAGTTCCAGCCAAGGGCATATGCCCGGGTTGTGGGCTCCATCCCCAGTAGGGGGTGTGCAGGAGGCAGCTCATCATTGATTCTTTCTCATCATTGATGTTTCTATCTCTCTCTCCTTCCCTTCCTCTCTGAAATCAATAAAGTAGTATATTATTTATTTTATTTTTTTTAAATATATTTTATTGATTTTTTACAAAGAGGAAGGGAGAGGGATAGAAAGTTAGAAACATCAATGAGAGAGAAACATTGATCAGCTGCCTCCTGCATATCCGCCACTGTGGATGTGCCCGCAACCAAGGTACATGCTCTTGACCTGAATTGAACCTGGGACCTTTCAGTCCACAGGCCGATGCTCTATCCTCTGAGCCAAACCAGTTTCAGCAATAAAGTAGTATATATTTAAAAATAAAATAAATAAATAAAGGTTGACTCATGCATACACAATACATAGAAAGCTGTTGCAGGCATCAATCTAGAGTAGGATATTCCTGCCTGAACCTGTTTTCGGATATGGTCAGTTATATGTTGCTTTCTCTTGAGTTCGAAGAACGTGTGACTTTAAAGTTAAAGTTGTAAATACTTCATCACAAGGGAAATTAGTCAAACACTCTGAAAGTGTTTTTACTCCTAATGTGGTATACAGGGAGATACTATAATAAGTTTAATCAATTCATCAGTCATTGTTTTTTATCAATGTTTTTATTGTTTTTATATCATATCTCTGTTGTTGTTATAGCAAATTAATTTCCTTTCAATGTGCACAAATCTGAGCACCAGGCCACTAGTATTATATAAATTAACAATGTAAAGTAATATGACAAAGAAATACAGAGAAGAGCTTATGGAAGACTTGATCTTCCCTAGCAGGGTCAATTGATTCTAATTTAAAACATGTTTTTTGAAAGAAAAAGAAAATATCAAAATTGCTTTTTCTAACCTTAAATTGATATTTTAAGAAATGATATATGTTGTAGTGAATAAACATTTGATTCTCAGCTTTTATTGTATTGTTTTTTAATTCTGTTAAATTCAAATGAGCTCGAATTTATTTATTTATTTATTTATTTATTTATTTATTTATTTGGGGGTGGAGAGTGAGGAGTTTTTAGGTAGTTTTATTTGTGCAGGTAGAGAAGATGCGGGATTCAAATCCAAAGCTCTATCTTCCCAAAGGGAGGCTTAGCCATTGTTTATATACACTGTTTGGTCAATTACATGTTGATTTCTTTGGGTTCTTTTCAAACTCATCCTTTTCACAGCCACTTCTGCGAGTATACTTTGTTATTTTTACTTATTTTTAAATGTATTTTTATTGATTTCAGAAATGAAGGGAGAGGGAGGAAGAGATAGAAATATCAGTGATGAGCCGAAACCGGTTTGGCTCAATGGATAGAGCGTCGGCTTGGGGTCCCGGGTTGGATTCCGGTCAAGGGCATATACCTTGGTTGCGGGCATATCCCCAGTAGGGGTTGTGCAAGAGGCAGCTGATCGATGACTCTCTCTCATCGATGTTTCTAACTCTCTATCTCTCTCCCTTCCTCTCTGTACAAAATCAATAAAATAGCCGGGACTGGTTTGGCTCAATGGATAGAGCGTCGGCTTGGGGACTGAAGGGTCCCAGGTTCGATTCCGGTCAAGGGCATGTACCTTGGTTGCAGGCATATCCCCAGTAGGGGGTGTGCAAGAGGCAGCTGATCGATGATTCTCTCTCATCGATGTTTCTAACTCTCTATCTCTC